CTTGGTGGGCAGCCTGCTTCTCCCTCTCCCACTCCCCCTGCTTGCGTTCCCTCTCTCACTGTGTCTCTCTCTGTCAAATATATAAATAAAATCTTTTTTTAAAAAAAAAAAAGGATGACCGATTCTCTTATTTTTTTATTTCTCAAAAGATTGTACTTATTTGAGAGAGAGTGAGAGAGAGCACAAGCTGGGGTAGGGGCAAGGGAAAAGGGAGGAGCAGGCTCCCCGTTGAGCAGGAAGCCCGATGTGGGACTTGATCCCAGGATCCTGGGATCATGACCTGAGCCAAAGGCAGATGCTTAACCGACTGAGCCACCCAGGTGCCCCTGATTCTCTTTTATATATCATTATGAACTCATGGATTTAAGCGTATTTGTTGGATTTCAGTTCACTGCAATTATTTTCATTTTTCTGACACCTAAATTGTGGTGTGTGTTCAAATTGGCTCCTTTGATAACCCTGGTATGTCCAAGTATGTTTTTGATCATTTCTGTTGGGTATAACAAAATGTTCCAGGCTCATCTTGTATGTATCCCGCCTCAAACCTAAGATCAGCCACTTCCTCAAGAATTAGGGTTTCTTTTAGTGAGAAATTGTATTTCAAGACTATAATCTGGTGCTAGGGATGCCCACTGCCACATAGTTATTTCATCTCCTTTCACACTCAGTGGTCTCAGTCACTGCCAATATAGTAAGTAAAAACATTTTATTTATTATTTATTTTATTTATTTTTTTAAAGATTTTATTTATTTATTTGACAGAGAGAGAGACAGCAAGAGAGGGAACACAAGCAGGGGGAGTGGGGGAGGGAGAAGCAGGCTTCCTGCAGAGCAGGGAGCCCAATGCGGGGCTCAATCCCAGGACCGTGGGATCATGACCTGAGCCGAAGGCAGATGCTTAACTGACTGAGCCACCCAGGCGCCCCTAAGTAAAAACATTTTAAAAAGTGTTTGCAGTGTACTCCCCATTCTCTTCTACAGTTGTTTTTTTGGGGGAAGGGCAGGGTTTGTTTTATGTGCATGGTTACTAACATCAAAAGATCCTAGATCTCCAGCTCTGCTTGTGCCCACTTTTTTTTTTTCTTAAAAGATTTTATTTATTTATTTATTTATTTATTTATTGAGAGAGAGAGAGCATGCGAGTGGGGCGAGGGGGCGAGGGAGAAAAAGAGCCTCAAACAGACTCTGCTGAGCACAGAGCCTGATGCAGGACTCGATCTCACCACCCTGAGATCATGGCCTGAGCTGAAATCAAGGGTCTGATGCTTAACAAATGAGCCACCCAGTGCCCTGTGCCCACTTTTTAAACAGTTGTCTGCTACCTTAAAAGAGCATATGGCCAGTACATCCTATACTCTGCCTTGTAACTCTCATTTAGTCTTAGTTCTCTACAATTAAACTATATTTGATATCTTTCTAGTCATTTTTGTGGTCTGAAGCTTATTCTCTAGTAGATACCCCAGGAAGGGCTAATGGAAACAACAGTCCTTGAGTTCTTTCATAGCAATAACAGTCTGCGTTCTTTCTACTCCAAAGTAAAATTCTAAGAACAGCTTTGAGGTATTACTGACATTCACTGCTCATAAACTGCACAATCTGATGAGCTCTGACACAGGTAAACCCTGTGAAACTACCACTGCAATCACGGTAACAAACATGTCAAAGTGCTAAAAGAAAAAAACTTCCAACAAAAAGTACTCTACCCAGGAAGTTACTCAGAATTGAAGGAGAGAGCTTTCCAGACAAGGAAACGCAAATGGAACTCATGACCACTAAGCTTGCCTTATAAGAAAAGTTAAAGGGTTGTCTTTAAGTTGAAAAGAAAGGGTGCTTATTAGTAACAAGAAAACATATGGAAGTAGAAAACTCACCAGTTAAGGTAAATATATACTAAAGATATTGGATTAATCACATGTAAAGCTAGTATGAAGGTTAAAAGACAAAAGTGGTAAAAACAACTACAATTACAATAATCAGTTAAGAGATACACATGATATAAAGATGCAAAATTTGACTTCAGAACGTAAAATGTGGGTGGACAGTAAAAATGCATTCATGCATAAGTTCTTATCAACTTCAAATAAACTGTTATAAATATGTTATAAATAAATGTAAGCCTCATGGTCACCATAGAGCAAAAACCTATAGTAGATACACAAAAGATGAGAAAGAAATCTAAGTATACCACTAAAGAATGTCATCAAACCACAAAAAGAGTAAGAAAGGAACAGAAAGGAACTACAAAGCAGCCAGAGAATAAAAATGGCAATAGGTACATACCTATCAATAATTATTTTAAATGTAAATGGTCTAAATGCTCCAATCAAAAGACAAAGGATGACTGGATGAAAAAACAAGATCCATCTATATGCTGCCTAGAAGAGATTCACTTCACACCTAAAGACACATAAAGACAAACTGAAGGAACTGGAATAAGATATTCCATGCAAATGGAGGGAAGAAATTAAAAAAAAAGCTGGGGTAGCAGTGCTTAGGTCAGAGTAGACTTTTTTATTTTTTAATTTTTATTTATTTATTTGACAGAGAGAGACACAGCGAGAGAGGGAACACAAGCAGGGGGAGTGGGAGAGGGAGAAGCAGGCTTCCCGCCGAGCAGGGAGCCCGATGCGGGGCTCGATCCCAGGACCCTGGGATCATGACTTGAGCTGATGGCAGACGCTTAACAACTGAGCCACCCAGGCGCCCCGAGTAGACTTTTTTTTTAAAAGCTCCATGCCCGGGGCTTGGTCAATGAAGAATTGGTCAATGAAGAAATTAAAGAAAAAATAAAAAAGATACCTGGAGAAAAATGAAAATGGAAACACAATGGTTCACAATCTTTGAGATGCAGCAAGAGGAATTATTATTTTTTTAAAGATTTTATTTATTTATTATTTGGGGGAGTGGGAGAGGGAGAAGCAGGCTTCCCGCTGAGCAGGGAGCCTGATGCAGGGCTCGATCCCAGAACCCTGGGATAATGACCTGAGCCGAAGGTAGATGCTTAATGACTGAGCCACCCAGGTGCCCCAGCAAAAGGAATTCTAAGAGGAGAATCAATTGTGATACAGGTCTACCTTGAGAAACAAGAAAAATCTCAATCTAACCTTACACCTAAAGGAACTAGAAAAAGAACAAACAAAGCCCAAAGGTAGTAGAAGGAAGGAAATAATAAAAATCAGAAAGGAAATAAATAAAACAGAGACAAACAACAGAAAAGATCAGTGAAAGAGCTGTTTCTTCCAAAAGATAAAAAAAAAAATTGATAAACCTTTGGCCAGACTCATCAAGACAGGACTCAAAATCAGAAATGAAAAAGGAAAAATTACCACCTATACTACAGAAATACACAGGATTATGAGACTACTATGAAAAGTTATATGCCAACAAACTGAACCACCTAGAAGAAATGAATAAATTCCTAGAAATATACAATGTTCCAAGACTGAATGAAGAAGAAACAAAATCTGAACACTTATTACTAGTAATGAAATTGAATTGGTAATCAAAAGACTTACAACAAAAGTCCAGGACTAGATGGCTTCACAGGTGAATTCTACCAAACATTTATTTTTTATTTTAAAAAAGATTTTAAGTAATGTCTTCACCCAATGTGGGGTTCAAACTCGCAACCCCAAGATCAAGAGTTGTGTGCTCCACTGAGTCAGTTAGGTGACTCTCTACCAAACATTTAAAGAATGAGTCTTCTCAAACTATTCCAAAAATAAAAAACAGGAATGAATTCTTCCAAATTCATTCTGTGGGGACAACAGTACCCTGAAGAACTC